TTGCGCTCACTTGGGGAGTGAATCATTGGACGGAAGATCTTCCTCTGTCTCTCCTCTCTGTATATCTGCCTTTCCAATAAAAAAAAAAAGAGAACAATCAATTGCCTTTGTGGTGGATTTCTCCTTATTCTGATTTTAATTGCTTTAACTAAAATACCTAAGAGTAAGGGAAGAGGTGGCTTGCTTTGCTTTACAGTTTGGAGATTCATAGTTTAAGATAAGACAGCCACATTGCTCTGGTGATGGTGGAGGCCAGCAGGGTTAGAGCACGTGTGGAGGACCAACCACATGTGAGCCGGGAAGCAGAAAATAGGAAGCACTCTCAGCTCAGGTCACCAACCCTCTCCACTCAAAAGGCCTCTCCCTCCCTCCCTCCCTCCCTCCCTTCCTTCCTCCTTTTTTTTTCTTTTAAAATATTTTTATTTTTTTAAATTGGAAAGTCAGATATACAGAGAGGAAGGGAGTCAAAGAAGATCTTCTGTCTGCTGATTCACTCCTCAGTGGCTGCAATGGCTGCTTCTGAGCCCGTCCGAAGCAAGGAGCCTGGAGCTTCTTCTGGTGTCCCATGTGGGTGCAGGGTCCCAAGGTTCTGGGCCATCCTCGACTGCTTTCCCAGGCCACAAGCAGGGAGTTGAATGGGAAGTGGGGCACCAGTATTATAACTGGGGCATCGGGTTGATAATTGTGCAGGGCAAGGACTTTAGCCACTAGGCTGCCATGGGGCCCAGGCTCATTTCTCAGGTGTTGTCATGTGAGCAGATCTCCACCCTTGGCCCATCATCTGTGGATATGAGACTTTGTTGGATCCTCCTATTTATGTTTAAAAAATTGTTTTGAACACACACACCAACTCTATCTATTACACACACACACTGAGAGTGAGTGAGAGAGAGAGAGAGACACTCTATTTCTGTCCACTTGTTCCTTCCTCACATGCTTGCAGTGGATGGAACCTGGGCCACATGGAAGTCAGGATTTGGGAACTCCATCCATTTCTCCCTTGTGGGTGGCAGGGACCCGTCACTCAAACCATTCCAGGGTGTCTTCCAGAATCTGTATTAGCAGGAAGCTGGCACTTCCTCCCTTCTTCTGGCTTTATTGATTCTTATTTGTCCAATGTCGCAGCTCATCAGACTGCATTAATCTTACTTGGTCTTTAAGTGTCCCTTTAGTTCCTTAGCTTCATTCCAGAGAAAAGGAGCCATATACTACTATTTTACAGTTAGACCTCTTACACTGAAAAATGTGTTTTGATTTTTGTTTTCCTTAGAATTGACACAGTGGATGAATGAGAGTGCATTTAAAAATGTTAAATGTTTGTGTTTAACCTCTCTCTGGTCTCCTGCTTCCTGGGCCTGTGACACTGGCTCAGGATGGCTGTATTCTCTAAGCTCTGGATCTGGTTACAAAACAAAAATGTTTCTGTTCTGGAGGTTGTCATGAGGCTTACCAAGGCAGCTCTGATCTTAAAGGTGGAATGGTTTTGAAATGTATCAGCTGTTCTTCCCTTCCATGTGGGTTACTGGGGTTGAAGAATGGGCTGGGAAGGCGGAGTGGTGAGCTATGAAGGGCCCAGAGTTTCCCTAGAAGGTGGTCAGAGGAGACCAGAAGGCTGTGGAGCTGGCCATGCCTTGCCAGGTGGCTGCAGAGTTAGCTTCAGCCCCTGCAAGTTGGGAATTGGAGCCCATCCACATAGGCAGCGCGTAAGCCAGATCCAGGCACCTGGATCACATGCCTGAGCCTGTCATCTCTGGGACCAGAAGGGAGAACCATAGGGAAGCATAGATTCCAATACCAGGGCAGAAAAGAAGAGTGCAGCATATCTCACTCAGGCTGAGGACGACTGTAAATGTTTGAAGGACATTGATCCTATCAACCATGTACAACACAAACAAAACAAACGAACAACCCTGAGTTTGATTTCTGTCTGTGCCCGATGGAGCATGTGTGACTTCATAGGCAACTCTGGAGGCCACAGGGAGGGAAAGAGCACGTTTCTATTTCCCATCTAGGCCATATCCACACTGCTTTTGATAGTCAAGAAACCAAAGTCTTTCCAAAGTGCCTTTCAAGTTCATTTGAGTCTAGTAGATTTATTTCTGCTTTTCCACAAGGACAGTCTCCATTGCTTCACCCCTGTCTTGCCCTTTATTTTGCAAGAAAAAGGCTAGATGGTTTCACATGACACTTCAAGCAGTCCAATTCATCTCTTGTTTCCTCACCCCAACTTCTTTCTTTTTGCCATGCATGTAGGAAGTGATCCCAATCAGCCTGAAGAGGTTTATCTTTCTGCATTAAAGATTTTTTTTTTGACTTATTAGGGAGAAATATCACTATCTGAACCTGTGACCTGTATTAGGAAAAAAAAAGGCTTCTGGTTGATTATTATAAGTTGCAAACACGATGAGATTTATGTTTTCGGTATTAGACCTAAAAATTCTTTCATTATGAAGCCATAACTCATTGATTTGCTTTTGGTGTTGATTTAAGTCATAAAGGACAATCACAAATTTAGTAACTTGTATCAGGAAGCATTTTAGCCATTTGCAATGATTATCTATCTTCTAGATGCATAGAACTCTGTAGAATGGAGCTGGTGAATAACCCCCCCCCCCCCCCGCCCACTCACACATACTCGGCAGATGGGGATTTCCCGCAAAGAGTTTACAGGTATATTCTGTACATCTATATTCAGCCAATTGGATATTTTATGATAGATACATTCAGAGAGTTGTCTGTCTCCAGAATTCATTGAAGAGGTTCTACAGAAGAGGCCAATATGAAAGAAAAGGGTGAAAGTTGATGACATGGAGGTGGGAGAGGGGTGAAGAGGAGAGACCCAGATGTGGGAAATGGCACAGGTGCTTCAGAAAGAACTAAGAGGTGAGGATTTATGGGAAGGCAGGAAAATGTGGGCTCAGGGCTTTTAGAACATAGTAAAGAGTCATAAACTTTTTAATAATCAGAGTATGAATAAAGTTGGTGATAACTTAAAGAACATGCTGTATCTATAGATATGAAGTAAGAAGCAGTTATCCTCAGCCCACATCATTGCTAGTTTAAATAGTTTGGACTGTTTGCCAAAGGTGAAAGAAAGTTTGTAAATATGTTGGAGTGCCTTAAAAATACTAGGGAAAAGGTTTTATCTTTAAATGTGCTCAGGAAGACAGAAGTGCTGTAAGCTCTAGAGGCATATGGGGAGACCTGGTTGTCTTGGGTATAGGGGCCCAAGGTGTAGGTGATTTTCTATTGCTTTCCCAGTCACATGAACAGGAACTGGGTTAGAAGTAGAGTAACTGGGACTCGAACCACCATCCATGTGGGATACCTGCACTGCAGGCAGCAGCTTAACTGGATGTACCACAGCATAGGCCCCAGACTTTATTCCTGATACTACAGAAGGCTTATTAGGAGGATAGGTGCATTCATTGAGGGGTAATTAGAAAGTAAGATCAATAGATGAGGCAAAAATACTTGAGGAGAGGATAAGTGCTTATCTTCACTAAGCTTTGTTTCTCTCATTTTTCTTTTCTTTGGAAAATTTTTCCTGTTTTCAACTGCTGTCTCTGGTGATGGCTCAAGTTGATATCTATTCTGAATGTCATACCTGAGCACTGACTATTTTCCCATAACCTTAATCAAACCTTTGGTCTCTTGGTCTCTAACCCCGAAGTCTGTCTCTTCCAGGTGTGCTCCATGCCCTTTCCTGTCTGTGGTGGCACTTTGGGTCGGGTCACTCAGGCAAGAAACCGCTGATGATCTATCCCTGTTGCATGTGTCCACTCTCTCCAGGATTATGACCAGATTCAGAGATTTTGAATCTAGTGACCCTAGAAGTGCAGAACAAATATGGTAAAGTGAAGGCAGTGAAGGGCTGTCACTGGAGTTTCCTGAGAAAAGGCGCTGGTTGTAGAGTTTTCAGTTAATGCTGTTGAGATAGGTCTGTTTCAGGGCAGTAGGCACTGTGGAAGAAATCCAGACATTCCCTGTTCTGGAAATGCATTTTTTTTAAATAAATACCTGTTAACTTGTATATTAAATTCTGATGAATAAAATTTTGCTTCTAGTGTTATGAAAAAGCCTAAAAATTTTTAAAAGAAGCTTGTTATTAACCTTGCATTTCTGTCCAGCTGCATTTTTCTGTTATACTGATTGAGTCTTAGTTCTATGGTCTCCGGGCTGTCTTGGATGTTACTGTCTCTCTCCAGTAATATTTAAAGAGATGTCAGTACTTAATTTTATGTAGTAAAAATGTGACCCTGGCATTGGACTCTCTAGTGATAGTTCTAAGGTTGAGATTTTGTAGTTTTGTAGTCACTCATAAGAGGATGTTGTGTGCCTATGTTGCTTTTGGCTTTCTGTCACCTTGGAAGGCATAAAACCGAGCATTTAAAAACAACATCCAAACTTAGAACGATTTGGCAGAGTGTTCATGGATTATACTGTGACTGTTGAAATGCATTCAAATATTCTTTTGACTTCATTGACCAGAGTCTTGCTAGGATGGAATCCACGGGCAAGGGCTGAACCTTGGGACTACTAGCTTGCCATTATCATGGAAGTAAGACAGCCCAAGTAAACAGAATTACATCGTTAGAAAGGCTTAGTGCATCTTCTCATGAGAGAGGTAGAATTAGACAGAAAGAAATACACTTTCCTTCTTTGAACACCATGAAACAAAACATGAAGGGGTGTAATTTTGGGGTCCTTGATGTAATCTGCTGAAACAAGTTTTTTAGATATGATCTGCTGTTTTTTCTTTGGGGGCGGAGGCATGTCCAATGTTCTCAGTCAGATGTTTTCAGAGGTCTTCCCTCTACTTCAGGAAAGAAATCAAAGGTTATTGTGTGAAGCTTGAAAGTGTAGCTCCTTTAGATCCTGAGCCAGGATCCCATTATCATCCTGAAGCAAACAGCCTGTAAATACCCTCAGCTTAACACAGTGGAAGGATTGCTTTGAACTGAATTAACTGGAGAAGACATCCTGACACCCTCCCCAAGTGCTGACTTCACTGAGTGTGTGCCCTTCCTCTGGAAAGCTTCATTCTCTCCAGCAAGGGACTTCCTTTTTGTTCCTCTCATATCCTGATTCTGGGTCTTTTCACTTGCTGTTACGAAATATGTAAGAACAGTGTCAATTACTCTATGTTGAAGGAGTGGTGGGAGAGAAAAATCGTTATTCTAGAACCATCTAAATAATTAGTAAGTGATCCAGACAAGAAGGATCAGATGTGGAAGCCAATGAATGAAAGATTCTTGGGAAGTAAACTCTTTTTAGAGTGTCACCCTTTGCACTATTTGATTGTGCAGTGGGATTATCTTCAACTAGGGATCAGATATCAACTAGTGGAGCAAATGATGTGTACTCATAGATTCATAATCTGCCTGTCATTGAGTCAGTACTCCATCCGAGAGTATTTAACCTGAATTGAATTATAAATAAACTGCTGGACAAGTCCAAAATGAGGCTGGGGAAACAGTTTTGTGTGTGTGTGTGTGTGTGTGTGTACGTAAGGGAGTCTAAAGAAATGTGACATATTAATGCAGAATATGATCTCCGATTGCATGCTGGAGGAGAGACACAGCTGTAAAGGACATTTATGGAGTAATTTGAAAATTGACTTCATATTAACAGCGTTCCATCAGCATTAAATTTCCTGAGTGTTATAAGTTTGCACATGTAAGAGATTGTCTGTTGATTTAAGGAGATTATTATTGAAGTAATTGTGATTCAGTTGCCCTGATAGTTGCTGCCAGCTTTCAAGTGATATATGTATATATGAAGGGACTAGAAAATTTCATGGAAAATTTGCTATTTTTAGCTTCATTTTACCATGAGCTTTTTGAAGCCCCTCTCATATATATGTATGTATTTTAGAAAAGTGCACTACACACACAGCAGTCCCTTGGTGTCCGCGGGGACTTGATGTCAGGATCCCTTGTAGATACTGAAGTCTGTGGGTGTTCATGTATATTATATAAAAGGTCATAGTATTTACATGTAACTAGCAAGTCTCTTACATAGTTTAAATAATCTCTAGATTAGTTATACTACCTGTTACAGTATAAATACTATTAAAATCAATCGGGTATTGTTTGGCCACAAATACAAGGAAAAATTATGTTTTCAGAATAGATGCAGTTCACATTTTCTGAATATTTCTGATCTGGAAGGCTCTGTATGCTAGTGTTTATATGCTAATATAAATATTTGTGTCATGTTTCAAATATAATGATATGTGAAGTATATAGATTTGCTTTATCCACAAAGACATATATGTTCCTGTGTGTGACTGAAAAAAGTGCGGACTTATTTGATAATTGGTAGCTCAAGATAGAAGGCATCTTTGTTGCATTATTTTTGAAAGCTTTCTGAAAATTTGAGAGTTTCAAAATAAAAGCAATTTTTTGGAGAAAAGTCCCTTGGGGCTGACATAGCAGATAAAATGATTGAGGGGTTACAGTTCATTTTAGTACTGTCTGGATAAGGCCAAGCTAGATGAACCAGCCCATTGGACCGTAAGTATTCCCAAATGCATCAGATGAGGCTGATTTACAATTCAGAATGGAGTGTTTCAGAATTTGAAATATTGTCTCGTGACATCTTATTTTTTCTCATCTTTTTTTCCCATGATATTAACTTTGTTCTGTTGTAAATTTCTAGCATACAGGACTGCTGTAACGATTAATGCACTAATGTGTGTGAAAGTCCTTTGTAAATTGTGGAAATACTATCTCTGAGCCTTCCCGTGTTTAGGATGTGAGTAGTGCTGAATTATAATACCTCGAGCTGTATTTTAAGAGGATGCAGAGCTTGTATTCAAAGGAAGACAGGCTTATTCAAGGACTTTAGTAGATTCATCTCCTTCATAAAAGGAGTCATTAAAAAGCTCATGGAAAATACATATTATAAAAAATATACTCATGGATTTCAGACTTTTTGCACCAAAATAAACTTAAATTCTACTTTCCATGGACTTTTGTTTTTGACAGATCCTTCTCTTTTATTTAGGACAGTGAGTATATGAAATAAATGCAATTTGCCTGTAGTATATCTAAATCAGTGTTTAACACATGTAACAAATATTTGCTTTGTTAGTAATGAAACAAACCTTCACTTATTTTCTATGCTCATCTAATCAGTAGCAGTTAAAGAAAATCTTTCCCCAGAGATTGGAAATGAACAAGCAAGAGCTTCAACATAAGTCAATAGAACATTAAATAGGGAACAGCTCAGAGTTGCTTGCTGTGCTATTGTGATAATTTCAATTAAGGCTTTAAAGTGTGCTTTCAGAACTTTATTGTTCCACTAAAGATAGAATTAAGTCAATGTCTGAGGAGTACTTGGAATGAGTAAAGATACTGGACGTTTTGTTCCTTCCGAAGGAGACAGGCCAGAATATCTATAAAATGGTGACATTTTGACCCTAGCTGGAAGAAAGCCGAATCAAAAGCATTAGGGAGCAGCAGACATAACCCATTTGGTAGAAGAAACATTCTTAAAAGTTAATGAACTTGACAAGGGTTTTCAGCTACAGTGATTCAGGTGCAGCCTGTGGTGGGTGTGGGCTTCATTGGAATAGCTGAGGGCTGCGTCAGTTGGCACATGAGGCTATGATGATGCATATTAGCAACATTGAGTAATTACCATGCATGAGGATCCATGTGAAATGCCTGCAGTGTATTTTCTCAGTTAAACCTAACAGCACGGAGGTAGCTATGTTACTTGCAGTATTCTTATTTTATCAATAACATGGGTTTACAGACTTAAACATATGCAAGGTCACATGATGTAGTCACCAGGCAAAGACAGCTATGGAGTGAATTGTCACCCCCATATATCCTGTCCGCCCATCTCACCCCAAGTTTGTAGGTTGAAATTCTAACCTTCAGTGCGCTGATATTTGGAGATGGAACCTTTGATGAAAATGTTAGATGATCATGATGGCGGGTCTCTCATGATGGGGTTTGTGGCTTTCTTAGAAACGGAAGAGAATGCATGGATGAGAGAAGGATGCAGCGAGAGGACAGCTTTTAATAACCTAGGAAGTGGGCACGCATTGTCTTGAATTCACAGGCACTTTGATATTGGGCTTGTAGCACCAGACCTGGGGGAAATAAGTGGCTGTTGTTCAAGCTGTCTGGTCAGTGGTATTTTGTTACAGTAACCTGAGCTGACTGGTACAAGGAGATTAAAATATAATTGTCAGGGGCCCATATGTTCAGAAAGATGGAAGAAAACACAAATATTATACAGAGAGACATGGAAGGTATAAAATACACTCAGAACAAATTTCTAGATTTAAAAAAATACAATGAGAGAAAAATAATGGAGAAATTAACAAAGACTTAGATACTATAAACAAAGTATTTTATAAATTGTAGATGGAAGTCTCCAAAATGAAACAAAAGAAGGACTAAAAATAACAGGGTACTATTGATCAGAGGGGACAATAGCAACTTACCTGTCCCAAAAAAGTGAGGAGGAGAGCAACATCTTCAACAATGACAAACAATAGTTGTGTTAGGAAATGAAACAGGAAAGAATCTTAAAAAATAATAGCTAAAAATACCCACATTTGGTGAAAATTGTAAGTTCACAGATAAAAAAGCTCTACAGGGCCCGGCGTGGTGGCGCAAGTGGTTAAGGTCCTCGCCTTGCATGCCCGGGATCCCATATGAGCGCCGATTCTATCCCGGCAGCCCCGCTTCCCATCCAGCTCCCTGCCTGTGGCCCAGGAAAGCAGTCAAGAACTGCCCAAAGCTTTGGGAACCTGCACCTGCGTGGGAGACCCAGAAGAGGCTCCTGGCTTCGGATCGGCATAGCATCGGCCTTTGCGCTCACTTGGGGAGTGAATCATCAGACGGAGGATCTTCCCCTCTGTCTCTCCTCTCTGTATATCTGCCTTTCCAATAAAAACATAATAAAAATAAATCTTAAAAAAAAAAATTAAAAAAAAAAAAAAGCTCTACAGAACCCAACACGGTAGCCTGGTGGCTAAAGTCCTCATCTCGCATGTGTCAGGATCCCATATGGGCACTGGATCTAATCCCAGCAGCCCCGCTTCCCATCCAGCTCCCTGCTTATGGCCTGGGAAAGCAGTCAAGGATGGCCCAAAGCCTTGGAATCCTGTGCCCATGTGGGAAACCCGGAGAAAGTTCCTTGCTCCTGGCTTCGGATCATCTCAGCTCTGGCTGTGGTGGCTGCTTGGGGAGTCAATCAATGGATGGAAGATCTTCCTCTCTGTCTTTCCTCCTCTCTATGTATCTGAGTTTCCAAAAAAATGAAAAGGAAAGAAAAATTTAAAAAAAGAAAAAGACTCTACAAGCTCCAATTAAAAAGAAGTAAATAATACCATATCAAAACACATCACTTTTTAAAAAGAATATCTTTCTTGATAATGTTTAAAATTTTTTTTTTGAAAGCTATACATATACAGATAAAGACAGAGACAGAAGGGGCTGAGCCACTCCCTGTGATGCTGACATCTCATATGAGCCCTGGCTGAGTCCTGGCTGCTCTGCTTCTGATCCAGCTCCCTGCGATCATGCCTGGGAAAGTAATGGAACATGGCCCAAAAGCTTGGGCTTCTGTCACTCATGTGGATATGTTTCTGGGCGTCTGGCTCTGGCCTGACTTGGTCCTGGCTGTTTTGGCAATTTAGGGGAATGAACCATTGGGTGGAAATCTTTACACACCGCACTATCCTGTATCACTTCCTCTCTCTCTAACGCTGCCTTTCAAATAAATAAATAAATCTCAAAAAATATTGAAGGGACAATGCTATGGTACTGTATCTCATGTTGGAAGCCACTGCTTCTCATGTTGGGACACCAGTTTGAGTCCTAGCTGCTAATACATCTGAAAAAGCAGCTAAAAATGATCCAGGTGCAAGGAAACCCTGCCATACCTGTAGGGGAGAATGTGAGGGATTTCTAGACTCCTGCCTTTGGCCTGGCCCAGTCATCGCTGTTGTGGCCATTTGGTGAGTGAATTATCAGCTAGAAAAACTCTTTTGCTCTCTGACTCTCTGTTACTCTGCCTTTTAGATAAATAAATCTTGCCCAAAAGTAGTTTGTTAAAAAAAAAAAAAAGCTGAAGTGGCTGTATGCACGTTAGGCAGAATATATTTCTAAGCAAGTAATATGACTGGAAATAAAGAGCATCATATTAAAGTAATCAAGGAATTATTTCCTCAAGAGAATATAGTGATCTCAAATGTGATAGGTGATCCTAATCCTAAACTAAAAGGAGAAATAGCAAATCCACAGCTGTAGTTAGAGAGTTCAATACTTTTCTCTTGATAATTGATAGGACAAATAGACAGAAAGAAAGGATATATAGAACACTATCAATCAAATGACCTAATTGACATTTATAGAATATTCCACTCAACAACAACAGAATGCGCATTCTTTTCATTTCCCAAGACAGACCATATTTTAGGCCATAAAACAAATCTCAGTCAGTTTAAAAGGATTTATGTCATACAAGATATGTTCTCTGACCACAGTTGGATTAAATTAGAAATCAATAACAGATACGTGGCCTATTTCCAAGTTTTTGGAAACTGTATAACATGTTTTTGAATAACCTTGGTCAAAGAAGAAATCACAAGGGAAATTAGAAAATAGTTTGAGCTTAATGAAAATTAAAACAGCATATTATAATTTGTGGGTTACAAATAAAGTAAAAGTTAAAGGGAACTTTAGAACATCAAATGAATATGTATTAGAAAATAGCATAATATAAAGTTAGTGACTCAAGCTGCTTTCATAAAAAACTAGAAAAAGAAAA